TGAAAGGTTATATTTAAGACCTTTTTGACATAAAATAGAACCTGTGTAGGTCACAGTAATTTCTTGGTTTGCCACAGTGTCCACAGATGGTTTTTTTTTTCAACACAAGCTTCCCTCCCCCAGCAGTTTCTGCACAGAGCTAAAACCATCCGTTTGCTGCTCGCTTTAGACAACTGATCTGTTCCTTCTTAAAAATCTGAGAGTGGAGGTGGGGGAAGGAGAGCTCCCCCCATTACTTGTCTGGAGGAAGCACAAGGAGGAGTCTTACCTGTGCCTGTAAAGCAGACCAGCCTCAACAGCCCACAGAGGGGAAACCATCAACCTCCCACTCTGAATTGCTCTGGAGGAACGTGCTCAGCCACTGGGAGTGACTGGGCCACAGACAGTGCAGTGCTTGAAAGCAGACACTTCAACTGTTCTTCCCCCATCTCATCCCCTCTGCCTCCTCAGCTGGGGCACCCATCAGAATTTTTCTGTCCCAAAGTTGAAGTGTTTCTCCTTGACATCATCCAGGCCACCCAGGGACACTGCTGGTGTCTGGGCTGTGTTTCTCATACTGCTGGGACAAAGCTTACTGTCTGAGCTCCACCTTGGTTGATGGTTCTGTAATTCTATAGCTACGTGTCTTACTGCTGCACCAAACACACCAGTTACTACAGAAAACAGGTAACTGCTCTCAGCTGTGGCTGTAGCTGCTGTCCCTGGAACATGGGGACTTCCTTGTGCAAGGCAGCGACGTGCAGCCAGGACTACTGCTCTGTAAAGGAGCAGCAATGAAGAATTTCTCATCCCAGGCTTTCACCAGCAGGACTTACTTACCTCTCCCTTCATTCCAATTTCACTGTATGCCTCGCCCATCTTGTCCTTCTGCAGGGACTGCAAGCAGAGAGTGGGGGGAAGAGTCAGTGTGTTACTAGGAAGGCCAAGCCAGCCCCTGGGTGACTGCACTTCAAACCTGTGCTCCGGGGCTGCCTTGCCTTTAGAGCTTCAATACATTCCAGAGAAGAAGGGACAGTGGTGGGACTTGATGTGCTACACATGATAAAATCCGCTTAGCATATCAATACCACCTCATCTCAAACACTTAAATTAATATAACTCTACCCTCAACCTCAGTTATCATCTAGACTGGTGCCAGATACTACCATCAAAGCCCTCCAAAGAAAAGCTTTAAGCAGCATTTGTTCAGGAGACAAACCCAAACATGCAAAGGGAAATCTTAACACAGGAAGATGAAGGTTAAGAAGGAGGAGCTCTTCCTTCCTCCCTCCCTCCATCCAGGGAAGCAGTTCCCAAACGCTTACCACCAGCTGCAATCAGAGCGTCGGATTCAATAGTGATGAAGGCCAGTCTTGGAAACAAGCTCATGACTCAGCAAGCACTGAACACCCAGAAATACCCAAGTTCAGACATGAGCTTTCGCATTCATCTGTCTATCCTTTAGCACACAGACCACCACATTTAGCCCGAGTTAAATCAATTCAATCAAGAGGCTCCTAAGCAGCCACTCTCAAATACACCAGCATTTGGCCTTTGTCAGAGAGCAGTCAGAGAGACTGGAGAACAAGAACATAAACTACTGCAGCACCAGCCACATGGAAGGAAGGTTGGTGAGTCACTCATGGCTACCATCAAGAGATGAGCAGGTATCTCGATCCAAATTCTCTTCCCCACCTGCCCATGTTTTTCTTCTATCAATCATGAAGAAGGGAGCAGAAATTTTCTGGCAAAAAAGGGCAGGGAGTAAAGAAGAAAAGTCTTTGAAAGCAGCTGTTAACTTTGAACCAAAGCTGAAATTGAGTGGGGGGGGGCGGGAAAAGTCTCCTATGAAACAGAAACTCCTATTTCCAGCCATCCCTCCCTCTCCTCTCCCTCTGGCTCTCTCTACTCACAGTGTAGACGGTGTCCTGAGGGTTCCTTCTTCTCTGCTGTAAAACAAAAGAAGAAAGTTGCCCACGTGTTGCACTACCAACATCCCCCATGACCTTCTACGTGCCTGTGCATTTGCTCTAAGGACGTGCTGTACCCGTTACAGCCCATCTCACCTCTACCCATAAGGTTCTGTTAAAACAACCTGTTCTCTGGAAAATTAATTTAATTTTAATAATTGATCAAACTCTGCCCAATCCCTACAGCTGTCACCTGCAGGCAAGCCCCACACGCTGATGCAGAAGGTTTCCCCTCCCTTTTCCTTTGCAGCAGAAAACAGTTGTTTTGGCTTCTGCTTTACTTTGTTGGCACTGGTTTGGTTGCATCACGTGCAGCGAGCTCTGGTGAAACACCCACTCCTGCCTTGCCTGCTCCACATCCGCCCCACGGCTGGGTGGCACTTCCTACTCTGGGTGGCTACAAGCTCTCAGCAAAATGACGGGGGGCACGAGGGGCAAAGATCAAAGGGGAAGGGGGAAGGTTTACTCTTCTCCTCACCACGCTGCCAGCCGCCTGAGTTACTGCACAGATTTTGCTGTTTTTCTCTCCAGGAAGGCACTGGTGCTTAGCAAATGTGTGATGAATGCCTGTGTGTCTGAACAGCGGTGAGACATGAGAAGGAAGGAAACAGATTAAAAGAAAAAAGGTGCCTGTGTGGGAGGAAGTTACCTGGTGTCTCCCGCCCAGCTCAGGGTCTGCACCTCGCTTTCCCCCCAGAACATCATATTCATCTCTGTGTCCACGAGACAGTTTCTGAAATGAGAAAGCAAGGACGTTATGATTGTGAGAAAACAGATCTTGACTTAGCACAGGAAAAGAAAAGGAACCCAGTTTGGTGTCCATGAGTATTAGCAAAGCTAGAAATTATTTTACCCCTTAATGTAACTGCCAACAAGAATGTCTATGATTAAGCCACGGAAAGGACAAGTGGTTTGTGCAGCACAAAACTGCCGCCCAATGCATCGAGAACCTGTCTTAAGTAGAAATGAGCTGAAAACGAGAGCAGGCAAGGCGAGGGACTCTGACTTTCACGCTTTCTCTCCCCCTGGTGGGTGAGGATCCATGTTCTTCCAGAACAGGTTGTCTAAATTTGCATCAAGTGGCTGTAGAAATTCTATGCGCAACACATTTCTTATCTGGGAAAGATACAATGGAAAAGGGCAAAGGGGAGATTTGAGGTCAGAATAACACAGCTGACAGAGTGCTACTGAAAAGGTGACAGGTAACACTTCTTAGACTGAAAAAAAAAAAAGCATTAGTGTTCATACATTACACAGTTAAACAGCAGAGCTCATCACAGGATGTGGCTCTGGTCAAAGGCGTGAGAGGAAAAAAAATAAAAGACAAGTAGACATGTAAAAAGAGCAAGAGTTTAATACTGCCATGAGTGAGCAATTTATCTAGGAAGGACGGGCAGGATCTTGTCTCTGTCCTCCCGCTGCCTGAGGAGCCACCTGGTGCTGGCTACCATCAGGGCACAGTGGACAAGGTATGATCTGGTACAACAGGTCTCATACTGTGAGGCAACAGGAAAGCTCAGGGGGACAGAGACAGCCGGGCTGCGATGACTTGGGCTCCACACACACGATGATACAAGAACTACAGTAGCCCAGAGTCAGCAGCACAGCATTCCGGGGTGTTTCCAGCCCACACCACATAACACCAGCAACCTGGGTGGGGTGGGCCTGTGAGTCGCCCGAGGAACAGCGATCAGCAAGGGCTGCAAGCCAACTGCAGAGGGCTGGCTGTGAAGTTGGGCTGTGAACATCACCAGTGGCTGCACACACACAGAGCTCTCAAGGACTTGTTACATGGGGCAGCACACCCAGCGCTGCCTCCAAAATGGTCTGGGTTCCTGGAATACCTTCAGATCCATGGATCAAATATGCCTATCTAGCATCCAGCCAGACAAGTAACAACAGAAGCTGCCCTTGTCAGGTTTCATTTTCCCTCCTTAGAGCTGCTGTGCTGCACAGTTGGGTTTATCGCTTTCATTAGCTGAGTCATCAAGTTTTTTCTGATCCACCACAGGGAATTCAATAAGTGTCCAAAAAGGTCTGTCTGGGTAGCAGATTTGAAAACAAACAAACAAAACAGTAGTTACTTACATTATACACATCATCCTGGCCTGGCTGCAGCTGTGGTTCAGAGGCCTGGCTAAGCTGGAAGAGAAAGCAGAGCTCTCAGAGCAGGTACATGTCTGGAAACATCCATGCCTCCATCACAGTACGTTATCTCCTTCCATGGAAGGGCACTAAAGCCACCAAGTGTCTCCCTAGATGCTGAAGAGCTGCTAGATGGTAACAACAGCCCATCAAGTTCTGTCCATCCTGTTCCCCTGACTCCTCTCCTGTGGTTTTTGGAGTTATATCATTTGCATCATCACACTCATACTATTAAAGGTGTCTGACTTCTTGAGAGGTTTGAATATATCCTTCACAAACTTGGCATTTACCCTGAATTTGCTGTATATCCCCTTCACTCTTTCTAATGACAAAGCAGCAGAAAAAAAACACATCACTATTGACCAGGCATTTCCCAGCTACAATATCCAGAATCTCTGACTGCACCCATAAGTGTATCACCAAAATACTCTCTCCCCTCCACTCATGAGCCACCAGAAAGAACTCTCACAGAGAGCTCAGGCTGGCATTGGAAAAGGAAGAAAATAAAAAAACAGAAAAGATTTAAAAAAACCCCAAAGTCTTAGAATTAAGAGACATGCTTCCTCTCCACCCCCCAGTTTCCAGCTGAGCCCAACTTGTTTCCACCACCAAAGCCAAGTGCATCAGTGTTTGGATGGACTGACCTTTGCTTTCACAAAAAGGGCTGTCATGACGACTGCGTAAATGAAGAGGAATCCATCCAGTAGGTAGCAGAGCCTTGGGTCTGTCAGTCCAAGAACTGGGACAGCATCTGTACAGGAACATCAGACACATCAACAAACAAGGCCATTTGTAGCACTGTGTGCTTGCTTGATGGTATAAATGTGGAAGTGCTGCATGGTGCTTCATGAAGAAATAGCCAGTGTGAGGGCAAGTCTGTCCATTTGCAAAGGAGATGGAAATCCAGATGAGAATCACGGGATTAATCAAGCTGGAAGGGATCACTGCAGGTCCAACCTTCTATCTAAACAGGTTCTGTTAGACCAGGCTGTCCAGGACCTCAGCCAGCTGAGGCAGAGTATCTTCAAGGATGGAAATGTTTGCAACCTCCCTCAACCAATACAGGACATTTTACACAGAGTTTCCCACCCAGAGAGTCCTGAAGATGCATCTCCTGCATCCCAGGTTATGTATTGTAATTGTAAAGCTACTCTGTCTTCTCTGTGAGGGTTCTCTTGGCCTCCCAGTTTGGGAAAGTTGGAGACCAGAAGAAAACTATGGGCAGGAGAGACAGACTTTTAACCCCAGATGTCAGGACTCATCCATGAGATACCCTGATGTGCTTTCTGTTTGAGAGGGAGGTTTTAAACCCAAATTCCCTGCACAGGAACCCCAACTGGCTGCCTCTTGTTGGATGGATCGCCCCCAGAAGAGTTTTAATTTTTATTTGTTTTTAAAAGAAGAGCTAAAACTTTTCTGAGGGAGAAAAATGTACTGCTATCCTAACTGAGACCTCAATAAAATTGTTACTCAGCAGATGTTGATCTTCATTTCCTAGTCAACATTGTGTATCTTGATACCCTGACCGCATCACGCAGGGCTCAGTGATATTGTTGGTTTTCAGCAGCTAAAAGGGATGAAACTGCCCCTGTATCAGTTCGTAAACATGCAGTAAGTTCAGAAATGTAGCTAAAAAAAAATCAAAGCAATTCAGGTCAAGAAGCCCAAGTAACTATAGATCAAATACGGAGCTCCAGGTCCATTCCCAAAGGAAAAGCTGTATTGCACAGTTATTTTTAAAAAAAAAAATCACTTACAAATGAATCTGAGATGTGCTTTATACAAAGAATTGGAGGGAGTTCAAAAGAGAGACAGAAGAATGATCAAGAGCCTGTGAAGCCCTTCAATGAAGACAAATTGAAAAGAATTGGTATGATTCATCTCCTTCCTAAGGTGAACAAAGTATGGGGATTGGTATTAACCACGTGTGATGGAGGGTAGTTGAACGGCTCAGTGCAGCACTTCAAGGTGCTGAGTTGAGAGCAGGACCATTCTGCAGGCTGGGGTTCCTCCCTGGCCCATCAGGCCACGCTGACGATGGCATTAGAAGAACCTTGCCGATGATATTCGGGCAGTACGCGCTCAGCACCGTGAGGAAGTCTCCTTCGCAGATATAAAGTTAATGATGATGGCCTGTGGCGCTGCTGGAGTGTGCAATTGGTATAAAACACGACTGAAAAGCTGTGCCTGGATACTTGGGAATGTAATTGTAAATTCTCAAGCAGATGGGGATACGATCCCCATCCCTGCTGAGAGCCTAAAACAGCCAGGAAAAAAAAAACAATCAACAAAACAACTCCACATTTCCAAACAGTAATTTGTTCGCTTATCTGAACTAGGAGTACATTCATTTTTTTTTAAATTACGTGTTTAGCAACAAATCCATGGAAATAAATTAAGATTCTAGGTGGTTTTCCTTCTTCCTCTCCTATTTCTATTATTTTAAAAAATAAGGTCCAAAGCACTTTATAAACAATAAACTTTACCGTATTTTTTTCAGGATTATAAAATCTCACATTCATGGAGTAAATAGAGACAGAGAGATTGAGTTATTTGCCCAACATTGTATATTAAACCAACAAACAAGCTGAGATGAGCTTCCTAGAGTTTCTCTTCTAAACAGTCACAGGACAATATTTTACGCCAGAGTTGGTTCAACACAAAACCAGTCTGAATCACACTCGAGTCGGGAGCTAAATCCCAGCACTGGGGAACACAGCTCTATGGCATCCAGAGGCAACTGGTTTCCAGCAGCAGTTCAGCTGCTTTCATGAAGTGCAGCATTCTGCCTCAGCGTGCCCTGGCCTCGAGCTGGATGTATCCAGAAGCAGCTCAGGGTTTTCCAGATCAGAAACACTGTGTGAGGAAGGTTAGCAGCTGAGCACAGAGCCAGGAAGCCTGTGGGTATCTGAGATGCTGCTGAAGAAGGCTTTGGGGATCCTGGCCATGACCCCTCTCTTCCTGTACCAGAGCAGGGCACGTTCACACTGTCACCTTAAGTCCAGTATTTCTCCAGCTCTAATAAACTCCTCAGACCAGGAGAAGATTGAGGAGGAGACAAGGAGGACTATGGAGGAGAAGCCAAGAGAGCAGGGGACTTGGCTGTAGCTCCGTGTCAGCTGTGGTCAACCTTGGCTGACTCTGCAGAGTTTCCCCATCTGAGGGTGGCTTATCTGGGGCAGCCTGGCCTCCAGCACCCCAGGTAATGGATTAAAGCTGTTCAATGAGGGCAATCCTGCTCGACATAGTCTGGCTGTGGTAGTTCCTGGAAAAATATGTCTTGAGACAATGATAAAGTCCAATACTTAGAAACAAATCAAGGAAATTAATTAGTTCATGTCTTTTCCTTCCTTAATATGTTTGATTTTTGTATTCTTTAAAAAAAAGGGGGGTTATTTCTAAATAACCTTTGCAACAGCTTTCCAGATTAGAAAGTGAGAGAGAAAAAAAGACTAAAGGTACAAAGACTGTTGAAACAAAGGTCAAAGAGATACGAAGGGTAATGAACAAGTAGCAGTTAAAACAGCATCCATGCATGTGAACAGGATGGCTTTAGGTTTTTAAATCGCTGGAGAGGTGGTTAATGTCTCTTCAATATTATGCAGCAACAGAAGGCCAGTCCCTCAGGCACCACCAGAATGTACTCCCTGCCCCCCATCAGCCCTGAGCCGTGCTTTGGGGGGGCTGAGGCCAAGGTCTCACACTGCAGTGGATGGGCTGATGATGGGATCTGGGCAGAGCCAAGCCTGCCAGGCTTGAGGGAGCAGTCACACTCAGCTGCCTCGTGCAGAGCAAAGCACAAATAATAAACATTTCACTGATAATTCCCACTCTATTAACCTTACAGATTACCCAGTGCCTCCTGCGAGTTGCACAGCATCTTCTCAGTGTTCATACACCAGTGTTTCATCAGGCCAGTAAAATACAGCAGGGTTTTAAAGCGAGGTGCCTTAAGTCCAGGCACGTGGCACAGCTCGTGTCAAGCCACAGGCTGGCGGGGAATACAGGTACCTTGCATTGGAAATGGTGTCAAGCTTAGTGCTTAAACCTGGCTCAGACAAACAGCATCTCTCTCTCTCTCTCTCTCTCTCTCTCTCTCTCCAGGCATCAAGAAGGAGTTGAGTCACAAGCTGACATCTAGTTGACAAATACACAAGGGTTTAAGGATGAGGTCAAAGTGGTGCTCTTGCTGGGGAGGGAAGCAAACTCTGAAGGAACAACAATGAGAAAGTTTGCACTTACTCTTGCTCACCACATGCTCCAATGCAAGGAGATGCACAGTTAGATCTCCCATTGCACATTTACTCATGGACTACTGGGGTGTTAAGGAAAACCAGAAACAAACTATGGAACTTACAGCATTAGGTAATTACCTTCTTTTAAGGAGTTTGTAGAGGAGAAGCTATGGAAAGGTTTGCACAAGGAGCTGACACAGGCTGAGTAAGGACTGGCAGAGCCACAGCAGACGAGGCAGCAGGAAAGGAGTCAGTAAGGAGAGCACTGCTGCATTTCATGACAAGGTTGCCAGCCCTTCTCAATCCCAAACCCCAGCTGCCTGCCACCACATTTGGGACTCTTCCCCAAGCTGTGCTTCTGCCGCTGAGAAGTTTCTCCCCAGCACCTCCTCCTTCCAAAGCCCCGGCTTTCCTTCCCCTCTTCTTCTCTCCTCCCACCTGCCCTCCCCTATGCCCGGACAGGAAGATGTGGCAGGGGAGGGTGAGGTTGGCCATGAGGAAAAGGTTCTTGAGGCAGAGGGTGGTGGAGCACTGGAACAGGCTCCCCAGGGAGGTGCTCATGGCACCAAGCCTGACAAGATGCCAGAAGCATTTGGCCAACATGTGCCCTCAGGGACATGGTCTGAATGTTGGGCTTGTCCTGTGCAGGGACAGGAGTTGGACTGGATGATCCTTGTGGGTCCCTTCCCACTCAACATTCTGTGATTCTATGACAAGTGCTGGACCCCGGCTGGCACATCACCCTCCTCCTGCTCCACACGCACACCCCAGAGCAGCGCTGCCAGTGCCCCCGCAACAACACCCTGTGACCTTTGAATTTTAAAGTATTGGGGAGAAAATAAAAAAAATAATTAAAAAAAAGCAATTCACACCAACTGCTAGTGACGAGCAAGTGAGGAAAAAACCCCCTCTAGCCACAGACCAACAGCAACCCCGGTAGCCAAAGCAGAGGAAGCCCGTGGGCCGGGGGGGAGGCCGTGCTGTGGGCACCCGCCTCGAGAGGCTGCGTGGCAGCCAGCCCTGTGCCCTGCGGTTTCGGGGAGCAGTTTCAACCCCTGGGCTCAGGCTCAGCACCACCTCTCCTGCACGTGTCCGTGGGTTTATCTCCAGGCACCTGCCCACCCATTGCCTGCCCACGCTGCTGGCTGCTACCCTGCTCCGGGCTGGGAGAGAGCCAGGGAGCCCCAACACCTACGTCCCTGTTAGAAAATAAGTAAACTCCTATTTTTAGTTGTAACAAAACATTTGTAGTTTAGCCTTGAGTAAGTACCAAGGGGCCCACCGTCTTTAGCCTGTGCAAGTCCAGTTACTCTGTATAAACTACGCAGGCCTGACTAACAACTATGTCCTTGAGAAAGAGCTAAAAGGAGAACATCCTGCCTCAGAAGGCACCAAAAGCTGGATGAGAAGCCTGAGAAGGATGAAATAAGCAAGAACCTACAGAAACTGGGGAAAGGCAAATATGGCCGGGGGAGATCATGACCACCAACTCAATTAGAGACTGACCAGACTGACCCCCACCCTGTATCAGGGCATTTTTTATATACTCTACTCTTAAAAGCTAAGAGAGAGAAGTTTAAGCTAATCAGAAAGTAGAATAGCAATGCATATGTACAGTGGGTGGAACAAGCTCATCTATTATGTATAAAAGTGTAAAGTTTTACAAACTCTGAGTGCTAGATTTGCAGTGATAGAGCACCCAGCACTGTGCTCTTTAACACACAACCCATGTTAAGGAGTTTTATTCTGATTTCGGTGACATCCTGACAGATCCACCCTGCTCCAAAACACGGCACGATCGGTGAATGCTGCACCCCGAGACTGCCCGGGGCTTGGTCCACAGGGCTGGTCCCCAATGTCAGCTCAATGAAGCCAGTCCCAGCGGGGAGCTGCTGAAATGAATCACTGAAACACGGCCTGGACCCTTGAAACACACTAGGTTTTTTTGTTTGGTTGGTTTTTTTAATAGGATTTTCCCCCTTGGACATTTTTACTGCGCATCTGGATTGAGTTAGACCATGATTCCTGGTAATAGTTTAAGAAATACAGACTGTAAAAGCTGAACTACATATAAATTCAGATCAAATCTATCCACTATAAAATTTTCTCTCTCCCATGGCCCTCATTAAGTGATTCACTTCAGAGTTTTATTTTTAGGGGTTACCAAAATTCAGTAACATGGTTATAAATGAAGAGTTTTATCTTCCCTAAAACTGAGTTTCTCAGTGAAGCCCATGTAAAGCAATCCCAGCACCAGAGATTTGTTGATGCAACTGCAGGTACATACGAAAGTGTTGGAAGGCAGAAACTGTAGAGCTTTCTCCCAACAGCCAAGAGCTGCCACAGCTACACGCCGGGGTGAAGCAGGCAGCGTTCCTCAGACACCAACATCCTCCACCGGCAGCGATCCGAGGCACTCACGGTCACTGCACACAATTCACCTCACTTCTACCCCTTATCTTCCAAAAACCTCTTTATTTCTTTATATTTATAGATGTCTATGGTTTTTACTCATGGATATAAATAATAAACAAACCTCAGACATTCCAAGACTGAAGAAGCAGAGGCCAAATCCTCCTTCCCTCACAGAAGGAAGAGGCTCCTCCATGCCACTGTTTGGGGGCATTGATGGAAAAACCTGAGCAAAAGCAGCTAAGGGAAGAAAAGGTCTGGATTACACCCCGCATGGTTTACTCACAGGTCTGATATGCACAGTAGCCAGTTGACAAAAATGAGTGAAGTGAAAGGCGTCCCTTGCATTAAACCTAGAACATGAAGTCAGGAGGCTTCTTCCTTTATGCAGAGACTAAAGATAGTCCTGTTGATTATTAAATTATATTGAGATTACAGGGCCAAGTAACACTTTCAACATAAAACTTCTCCACTATCATATCTGCAAAACCAAGACAATCCAGGAAAGACAGCAGGGTCTTAACACAGGAAGATACAATAACTCCATCACAGCAAAATGACGTTGAGTTTGCCACCTGAACAAATTTCCAGGTTTGTCTTTTCATACCAGCCACTTGCCTTGGCAGAAAAGTTAAAAGCTGTTTACATTACTGGTTTGTTTTTTTCCTGACCACCACCAGTTCCTTTAGCACTGAGGAAAACTCTTGCATTTGTCATCAATACACCAACATAACATGGCCAAAAGCACAGTTCATGCCCAAGAAGTTCAACATTATGGTTTGCTGTCGTCCTCAGCTTTAAAGCCAAGGAGCAAACTGCTGATACGATCAGGATTGAGGTTACAATACCAGACCTTAGGCAGCCAGAATGATTACATTTAAACAAGGAAAGTATTTCAGGTCATTAACTTCCACGTTTTTATCTCAAAGAATGTTAGCCCTATGGAAACATGAGGTCGAGTTAAGGTGCTTTAGGATCCTTGTGATCCCTTCCTACTCCTTCTAGGATCCCTTTCAGGGAGGCCTTATCACAAAGTTCAAATAATGCAAGTTTCTTTCCGATTTATTTTGGAAGAAATTCAAAAGAAGGAAAAGATTATAATCCCACAAAGGGTCAAACATTTTCTAGCACGTCATGGAATAGACTCTAATAAATAAAAAGTCCAGGGTACTGTAATAGAAGCACAACAGGAAGATCTTCAACAGCTGTCTGATTTGTGGAAAGAGGACCCGGTGTGTGCAGAAGACAACAATAAATGGTCTACCTTTCTAGTCTGGAGGTGAAGAAGGTTAACTTTGAACATATTATTAAATAAGGTAATCTTTCACCCTCCAAATCCTTCCAGAGCCTCGTCAAAAACAGAAAGGAGGGGAGTGCTTTGCTCATCTCTGGAAGGGGACTCCTCGCTTCATCAAAACATTCATTCTCAGAAAAAGCAACTGCTTTCACTTCTCAGTTTTACAAGAACTTGGTGCAAAGGGCTTTCCTGAAGCAAACCTCACGTTGCCTCCTAAAGACAGCAAACCACAAGTAGGGCAATTGCAGAACATGGATATCCAACAAGCTCAGGTGACAGATGCAAGCCATGCAGCTCTTTCGGCTTCTGTAGGGGTTTTAGATTAGACACATGTTCTTTTACTAGACCCATCTTCATCAGGGAGAGCAGAAGTTTAATCTAGTTAATGCAAAAGATGTTCCCTGCTGTAAATTTGTCTAATCCAGTCTGGTATTAAGTGTCCCAAGAGGCAAGACTTACTATTCAAATGGTTGTTTGTAGGTCACTTACCCCTTCCCCTACCAATTCTGTCTGTGCATCCCACAGCAGTAACTCACCCCAGACTGATTTACTATTAGGTGGCCTTTTCATGTTTAGCTTCTACAACCCAATGCACATGATGGAGGACTACTTAAAAGAATTCAGTCTACACATCTCAGCTCACCTGGAATCCCAAAGAGACTACATACCGCTGGGCTGAAGAAAGAGACGCCAAGTCAGACACAAGATGCTGTTGATGACAATCAGATGTGTTTTCCCCATGCAGTGAGCACCTCACAGACATGCCCGACGTTTGCCTAGCACTTTAAATAACCACTTTTAAGTTAGACTTTACAAAAAGCAGTGGAAGGATGGTTATGTTAAACAGCTTGCAGCTAGCTCACTGCCAATGGCTCCAGTAATCAAATACACTGATAATACGAAGTTCCCAACTGGGAGATTTATAAGGCACCCCCCACTCCCTTTTATCCTAGTTTCAGGCTTTCAAAGTCATTAAGCTTATGCTGGCTATCATTAGCAGTGGGAAATGGCTTTCTTCTAGCTGAGTAATAAAGTAATAGAACTGTGCACAAAATATTCAGAGTCAGTCAGCAAGCACAGACTTATCAGTGTGATTTCTTCTTGCCTTAGTGTTAGTGCAGGGAGGGACCACTCTGATTTCACAGCTTGTGTCACACTAAGTGCAGAGATGCTCAGGCCCAACAAGAGACTTAACAGGGCTGTTTCTGTCTCAGACTGAGCTCAATTGCACCTATCTTGAGCAGCTGCAAGCAGGGAAGAAAAATAAGAAACTTTTCCATCACAATGATGCAAGCTAAGGGTGAAGGTGCTGGAAGGAGAATTGCAGCTATGAGGCTATTTACAGACATAAGTCAGCCCATGAGCAATTCCTTGTGTTGCAGCCAACACGGACCAAAGCTTCGACAGTTACAGAAGCCATCCTTGATGTATGGTCAAAGCTGACACTCAGCACAGTTAATCCTACTGCGATAAAACCAGTTTTCCTTTCCTTTTTCCAGAATCAGTTTCCACCTAAGGTCACTGACAGCACCAGATCTAACTGTGCCAAAAGAGCCAGTGTCAGGAAGGGCACCAAAGCCCCAATAATGAAAGCCATCCACGTTTTTAGGCTAAGCCTATAGCGTTTTGGAAAACCCAGGTGGCTATCTATCATCTAAGGCTTTCAACACATTCCTCATATACTGTTTCTCAGCAGATAAATATCATGACTGAATTGTAAGGAAGGTGGACATACGTAAAGCCGCAGAAAGGTTGCAAGATTTACTTCAGCTCATCCAGAAGGACAAGTGGGAATAGGCTGTTTTAAGACTTGCAAAGTCTCAAGATGTTTTCATTGCAGTCCCTGTATAGACATCTACTTGCAAGAAGGTTTCTGAGGGTGAAGAAATTACGAGTGAAGCTTGGTATCAAGCAGAGAAACGGTTAAATCGTCTCGCAGAGGCAGCACGCCTCAGGTTATCAGGCAGGAAGGAGGTTATACCGGCCCCAACGGCTGAAGCTCCATACTTTGTAGTAGCTACACACATATTGGGGAGGGAGAGGTTTCAGGGCAGGCCTTGAGTCCCCTGCTACTGACCCACTTAATGGAGAGCCATGCACGTCACGTCCTGCCTGTACTAAGAGATGCACAGGCAAAAAACCCCATGCAAGAGCAGTTAGGTCCTGAGTAAAGAGAAAGGTTGATTAAGGGTTTGGTTTCACATTAATTCCCTGCATATTCTTTTTGCAATCTTGCTCACTGAAGCTTAGCAATAATAACAACACAAATGAGGAATATTCCAGTCTGAACATGAAGCATTTCACAGGTATCATAAAAAAGAGCCAACAGACAAGCCATCACAAAATGGAAACATCACAGCGAACCTTGCCTGGCTCCTTGATGGAGCCCTTCGGCAAAGGGCCTGGGGACAAACCCTAACTCCATGGACCCTCATGGATTCCCCTTGAGAAAAGAAGGAACGGCTTCTTCCACCTCTGAAACGTTCTTCCTCTCATTTGGGAGCATTCACATTTTCATAACACATAGCAACCATACAGCTAAAATGTTATGGCAAAGTAAAACACTGCTATAAAGAAAGATCTGCGTGTGGGGCGCGGGGACCTGGCTTGATGTCCCTGTTACCACCTCTCTGTGGCTGCTACACCTCCATCCCCATGTTATATTACAAGCCATCTGAGGGACTACACCCAATTTTAGAAAATCTCAGATTGCATTACAGGATAAAGAAAAATAAATAAGGTTCTATTTTGAGGCAGACCTTCTCATACATAGGTAGGAAATGGCTTTTGACTGAATTGAGGACTGTTAAAAAGCAACACATTCCTGTGTGGGGCTGGGGAAACAGGAGGGAAGAACTTCCTTACCATTAATGACTTTAAAGCAATACTTTTATTTTGTCACTCATAAGATAAGAATAATTAAAGTAGTATTTTTACTGTCAAAAATATTGGAGTGCTCTCAAAATCTCAGACACCAGGAGTCAGTACCTTCTTAATTGCTCCTCTGTGGAGAGACAGACTTGTGGAAAAAGCAAAACAAGGGAAGAAAAAGGACAGCAAGCTCTCATCACAAAGAAAACTTTCTGTATATTTACAGTAAGAGTTCAAACCTTCCTACCTCAGTGTTTGTCACTGAGATGCAAGTAAACAATTATGCTTTACCCATATCTACAGTGCATGCAACTAATATTAAAATTTATCAAGTTAATTCCTATATTCAATATATACATCGAAATATATCTCTCCATCACCACTAACAAATGAGAAGTGTTACCAGAG